AGGGGTGACAGGATAGCAGTGTTCCAATATCTCAGGGGTTGCCACAAAGAAGAGGGAGTCAAACTATTCTCCAAGGCACATGAGAGTAGAACAAGAAGCAATGGGTGGAAACTGAACAAGGAGAGATTCAACCTGGAAATAAGGAAGAACTTTCTGACAGTGAGAACAATCGACCCATGGAACAGAAGTTGCCTTCGGAAGTTGGGAGCTTCATCCCTGGAAGCTTTCAAGAAGAGACTGGGCTGCCATCTGTCAGAAATGGTGTAGAGTCGTGATGGTGAGCCTGTGGCACGCATGCCACAGATGGCACGTGGAACCATATCTGAGGGCACGCGAGGCGTTGCTGGGGGAGGCCGTTATCACCCTCCCCAGCTTAAGGTTTTCCTGAAGCCTGGGGAGGGCGGAAAATGGCCCAATGGGCCTACCGGAAGTCTGGAAGCTTCAGTGAGGGCTGGGTGCATGCGCGGAGGGAGTCCGGGGGTGGGTGGGTTGTGTGCGCATGGGTGGGGTGGTGGTTAGGGGAGGGACTTGCATTATGGGGGTGGGCACCTTTTGTCCCTCCCACCAGAAAAACGTTCTCCATCTGTAGGGTCTCCTGCTTGGGTGAGGGGTTGGACTAGATGACCTACAAGGTCCCTTCCAACTCTGTTAATTTGTTAAGTGGTGGGCATGGGTGGGAAAGCATCCTCTCTCCTCCTCCACCACCCCTCCCTACCCCTGCTGCCATCACTGATCCACAGCCAGAAAGGTTCCTTAACCTCCTTCCTTTAAAGAGGACCCCCCCCCCCCAATGCTTTGCTTGTCACTTTTGGCTGAATTCTTCCAACTTTGAGCTCTTTTGAAGGCTGGACTCTTAAGATAGTTGCCTTGTGTTTTCAGAAGGGGAAGACGAAGGGGAAGGAACCAAACCTCAGGTTCTCTGGTCCGTGTATTTCAACATGAGGGATTCCTCCAGCGTTGACAGGTCTTCGTATGACGATTTGCCCTCCAACTTGTTTGTGTGTTCTGGCCCAGACGGGGCACTAGGGAATGACTGCGCCGTCAAACAGGTAAGTCATTCACTTTTCTGTCTAAGGTAGGAATACAGATGGCTAAGCCAAGAAACTTCTCTCAGGCCAAATAAATACGATATTTGGGGAGAGGAAAAAAAAAACCTTGTATACTGTTCTGACCCCCTCCTCCGTCCAGTAACGAATGCTGAGACAAGCTTAACTGGAATGCACTTTATTAGCAAGAAACCAAAACCTTGGTGGTTGAAAGCCAAGCATAACGAACAGATAAGGACCTTGGCAGCAACTCAGACAAGCCTTGGCAGCAATGCAGCCTACCAAGCTAGGTACAGAAGTTCTCCAACTTTTAGTCAATGCGTTGACTTCTGCAAGAGAGATGTGTGCACAAGCAGTCTTTTTATAGTCTGGAGAGGAACCTAATGACCA